ACCACGTGGTCCAATGAGACGATTTGTAACCCGGGGGTTGTCGTCCCGAAGAAACTTCGGAGCTCTCAAGGGTCACCTTCGGACCAGGAGGGACTTCGGAGCAGGATTTCCGCGTGGCCGTCTGACGTCACTTTTCCCGCCCGCTCGCCTGGGTAATCATGCGCGGATGACGTCATTTCTTCACTGTTCGTATGTATTATCCAATTCCAGCCCCCTTGATTTTTCTTGGGCCTCACACTAGCTGTCCAGTGTCCAACTGACAGCTGTCTGCCACACAGACATAGTTGACCATTTCGCCTGCTGCCATTTCCCAGATCCAGGCGCAATTGTCTTCTCAGATCAGGAAGGCAGCGCCGCAGCCGTATACACTGTACGTTGTCGCAACCAACCAGAGTGAGTCATAAACATCTGTCAGTTTCTCGCTGTTTCTTTCGATGTCGTTGCAAAGTACCTTGGCAGCTCGGCCAATTCCAACTTTCCTGGAAAATGTACAAAGTACAAAAATTAGGGGCCTGTCAGAAAAGCTAGTTAAAAGTACCTCACTGCCGTATTTCCCTTGTATATGACTATACAGTAAAGTACATATATCGGCCGAAGAAGCCTTCGCCATCTACGAAAATAAGCTGTACAGTTCCAAAGACATGTTAACCCCTTCGACTGTCCACGTTGCAGTGGAGTCGTGAAGGTTGGAACTTGAGAGGAAAACAACGCCCCCGCGTGATTATGGGCAACCAAAGCTTAGGACGTGGGCCCAATCGACTTTGATCGGCGCGATCAGAGGCGATCTAAAACTTCGAGGAAGGCGGGTAGCAAATTTCAGGCAATCACGGGCAATCAGCTGATCGCGATCAGCTGATCGCGCCAGCTCAATCAACCGCCTCAAACAGCCCGATCAGACCCGATCAGACACAATCAGCCCCAATCACTTGATTGCATGTGATCGGCGACCTGGGCAATGTACGCGAAATGTAACACGCCTCGCCATGAGGTCTCGAAAATCCTTGCGAAAACACCCAGATCGAAAATCCTTACAACAGCTTCTTCCTCATCTCAGTGCTGCCACGGTGACATGGAGTGAACTCGCTTGATACGCCCTCAAACCGTTTTTTGCATGGCTGGACAGGAGGTGCTGTTGCAGACAGCCAGATAGTCAAGGGTGTCAGATCAACTGTCAGGACTGCAGAAGAGATTTGAAATCACCTGAAATGAAACCATCAGCCGCATTGCACGATCTCCCCATCCTAATTTCCGACATGCCTTCCCTCCTTGCCCCCCCTCTGTTTCGAGTCAGCAAAATGTGACCAATCACCAACGAGTTTAACTTTCAATCTCCCTTACACAACGCAACGCAATCTACCTCCCCAACTTGTTTAGGACGTGGTGCACGGCACTACGACCAGGGTCTTCTATGGAAGCGCGAACACACGAGGCGTTGCGAAACCTCATTTATTCGTTAATGTTGAGTTACTTGGATTGTCAACTTTGCATCTCAATTCCGTTTCAAGAAGAGCAGCCAAGTTCTCCTCGATTTCTGTCCGTCTGGCTGGGGCAAAAGCCCAGCTCACTGGGCAGCCCTCCGTATTCAAAACGGGTCAACTTGACCAGGGGACCACAGCCAAGAACACCAAGCTTCAATGCCCGTGTTCCGCTTTGGGTCGAAGCGAACCACATCACTGACTGCCACAGTACTCTCGTCCGACCGAACGGAACCATGGAACGGAGCCTAAAAAAACAGCGTTTTAACTGTCCTCATGCAACCTCTCCCCCCTTCCCACTCCCCCCTACTCCCGCCGCGCTTTCCCCCCGCAACAGCCCCGGCCCCCAGCCCCCAACTCTGGTTCTCCCCCCCATGCCTCAACCACAAATTCCGCCGTCCGTTCCCTGGACGCTTACTGTTGCGTTGCGATTTGCACAACCGCAATCGCGGGAGGCGTTGTGCTTTTGATACGTCGATGAAACTCACAACGAATGAATGATCCGACACCTCCATCTCCTCGCGCCCACTCATCACTGTCATATGCCTGCCAGCTTGGGAAAAGATCATATTGGGGCCGAACAGTGCCAGAAGGGTGATCGAAGTAGGGCCGGAAAATCTCGACCGTATGATTTCAACCCGGAGCTGACCAAACGACTCGGCAAACAGGCCGAACCATAAGTTAAAGATATTTGCTAAAAGAAACTACAGCGCGCGCGTCGCCTTCTTCTGGAATTGAATTCGGCGTGTCAAATCGTGATTACGTAACAACATAATATATTCTGGGTGATGCATACCGCCTACCCAGTCGGAAACCACAGAAAAACAATATTACCCATTCGGAAACGGATGCGACTCGGGAGGGATCAACCCTAAATACCAGGAAGGTTCATTTTTAAGGGTTTATCCATCCCGAAATTGCATCCAGGTTCCCAATGAGTTTTAGTTTTTTTTTCTGCCCTAGAGTTCCCGGTAGATTCGGCTCGCTACACGACGCGCGAGCGAAAATGCGAGCCGGTACATGCCACTAGTAACATAATTACGTGCAATAAATGAAGACTCTCTGTTAATTCCTCTCTGCGAAGCGGTTTGGAAATTTCCGGGCCTCTCGGCCCCTGGTTGATCACCCCTCTGGCACTGTTCGGCCCTTGTATGATCTTCTCCCTGCCAGCTTTGCCAGAGGCTCAAAGCTGGGCTGATGCGGACAGTCCCTCGGCGACGATTGGCGTCGTACAGCTCTCGCCTCGCCACAGACTTGTCGTCCCCTTGTTGACCCTCTGACAACTCTTCAATTGGCAGACGGTCCTTCGCGCACGAACTAGACACCTGTGGGGAAAGTGCGGCTGTTGAAGAGGGGAGGGGCGGTTGGGTTTGGAGTCGAGAAAAGGGGCCAGATGCTTCTCTCCGCCGGCACCGTCCGCTCCGCACTCCCCCCGGAACATTTCGAGAACAAAACCCCACATTCTTTTTCAAACCCATGTCCGATAAACTACACGACCAACTGTACACATCGCGGTTTGTGACCTTGCATGCGTGTCAATCTCATTTCAGAACCTGCCAATTGACCTGACCGGAAAACTTCGCCATTTCCAACTCCGCTGGCCCATGCTGGCCTTATTCGAAGACTTTCAGGAGTGAGGAAAGGAATGGAAGTCTGGTTGCTTTGTTTCCACTGGTCGATACTGTCCTTATCAGACGAACTCAGTGGAAAGAACCTCCCACAAGGAACCAGTGTTTTGTTTTTTTTTTTTTACGGAAGAGAATTACATCCCTAGCCAAAAGAGTTCCATATATTCTATAATCAGATCTCTCCTACGCTGCTATGTGCTGCGCTATTATGCATTCTAATCCACACTGGCGCAGGATTATTCCCGCAAACGAAGTCTTCTCTCCCCTCTGTTGCCCAGTGATAATACCTGGACGCAAAGCAAACATCTGAGAGAAGGGGGGAAGCGGGAGTATGGGTGTGAAAAGGCCGCAAGCCTGTAGTTCTTGAGTTTAGATTTCATTAAATCTGCCCTTCACTCTGTTTCAGGCGGTTCATGGCCGCCCTGGGGTGGCTTCCAGCTGTTTGCATTCAAGAGACGGATTGGCACGGACGGTGACATCGCCTAAAGCCATCTCGCACGACCTTATAGCATCTCGTTCAACCGTTTCAGAAATCAAGAAATCACATTGAGCAAACAGGGCGCAAGCGCTCCTGACACGCGGCGCCGAGTTCTTGAACATTCGTCATTCGTTATTTAGCCTCATTTCCTTGCCTGCTCGTCACTCCTCTCCTGACTAAATCCACCAGTCCCACCTGCAGGAGGTTTGTCTCACGCCGATATTCACGTGCCCTCACCTCAATCGACCGACCACGACACTTACATCTCTTCTTTGGAGCGACGCACGCCCGCCGTTACAGTATCACTACCTAAACTCCAGCAAAATACTGCAAGCGCCGTCGTCGCTGCCGCGGGTCCACCGTCGCTTTTTCGAGAACCACCAGCCGCTTTCCCCGCCTCCCAAGTTTCGATCCGCTGCGTACTACCACGCGTGCGATCGGACTGTGTCTCCGAGCGGAGAGAACAACTCATTCGACGGTACCATTCGTTATCGCATCGTCGTCGGCACCGCCACGGCATCAGCGCCATTAACGGCGGCGCAAACAACACCATCAGCTTCAGATTCCGGCGGCCATGGCCGCCTGTATCACGAACACGGACACCGCAATGAGTGATCGTGCGCATGAATCTGGTTACCACGTTCGCGAACATCATGGACGGCAGAGTCATGCTGCCGGCCGCAGCAACTCCGCTCAAAACCAAGGCGGCTCGGCGAGCTCCGCCGTGATAGCCGGAAGTTGCGCCACCGCTCTCACCGCCGACGCTTCCGCTTCCGCCGCTGCTGCGTCGAACACGCCAAACGCCTCCGCGAGGAAAGTTCATCAAGACGGCTTGCTGCTCCGCGCCGCGGCGCGTCTGACGGAAATCGTCCACGCTGACGGCTACTGCTGGCTGAAGTACGGTGAAAAGCGCGTCACTGAGAAGTCGCTTCTCCGGTAAGTCTTTTCGATCCGTAAAACACGGCAGCATGATAAGATAACCTGCATGAACATACCGTCAAAACCCCGCAAACTTCAACTTCGGTTTGTTTCTCGTGGTATTCTTGTTTCTTTAGTCTTCTCTCCCCCTCCTCTCCTTACCCCCGCCTCGCCTCCCCCTCCCCACACCCCCTCTCCTATTTCGACATAAAAATATAAAACACCCTACCAGCTACGAGTGCGCGTGGTCTAAGGCGGCCGTGCCGACTTATAGATCTAAGTCGTCTCCTAGGTTATCTGCCTAACCTCCCCCCTCTCCCCTCCTTCCGCTCCCCTGGCCCTCCCCTTCTCCTCCCCACGCGCAGATCCTATTACAAGTGCGCGTGGTCTAAGGCGTCCGTGCCGTGCGTCGCGAAGAAAGTGGTTGACGTTAATCCGGATCATCCGCTCAACTCGCGCACGCAATACTCGGGCGCGCACAACCACGCGGAAACCGGCGCAATGCCCAAGGACCTCCGCGGAAAGACTGCCGGCGCCGCCGGCGCCGGCGCGGCCGGCGGAAAGTCCCCCAAGGAGCGGCAGCTGGACAGCTCGTCTCCGCCTTCCGCCGCCGCGACTACCGCATCCGGCGCCGCATCTGGCGCGTCCGGCGCGCCACCGTCCTCGTACCGCCGCACCCGCAATCGGTGGAACCCGCAGGACCCGGTTAGCATCTCCGCTCCTGTCGCGGCCGCTATCTCCGCAGCGATTCCCGCTGCGAGCGGCGCGGTGGACTGCGAGATGACGGAGTCGCGTGAGGCCGGAAACGCATGCGACTCGGAGAAGCCGATTCGAGAGAAGACGGGCAAATCACCGTCGAGGAACGGAGCTGACTCTGCAGCCAATAACGTCTCGCCCGGTCACAAGCGAACGAGCAGTATGAGTGACGACGGATGTGACAATAACGAGTACGCGTTCAGCGGCGTAGAGGAGAAACGATTCTCCGCGCCTAAACGTCGCGCCTGCTCGATGGAGGGTTTGACGGTGTGGTCTCCTGTCGGCGCAGCCAATCAGGAGCCGGGATTGAACCGCTCAGCGAACTCTGTCAATGGAAACGATGTAAACGTTTTCCGTCAACCACAGCCGCTGTCGAACGGCGAGTGCAAGCCGATTCGCGTGACGGAATCTGGAAACTTGAGCCCGTCGACCCCGCCGCTCACGGCGATTAAGGCAGACGCTAACCTCAACGGTAACGTTAACGTTAACGCTGCCGTGGACGCGACTGATTCAGCGCTCGACACGGCGCCAGTCACGCCCCGTCGGACGGCAACAGCACTCGAAGCTACGGCAGTATTCTCAAGTCCTCTGGAGGCGAAAAAGTCACGTTTAAAGCTGACTCAACTGCAAACGGACTTCGATATAGTCACAGGCGACGACCCCGAACCGCTACTTCTTCCTGTCGCGGAGTCCGGCCACGTCAGTGCGCCCGCCGCCGTTCCCGGCGCTCGTGCCGGATCGCGCTTCGCCTCCCCCAGCGGCTTCTCCCCCTGCGGTGCTCGCACGATCGGCTCGAGCCGCCGCTGTTCCATCACGCCACGTGGCGTCGCCTCCGCGTCTCCCGCCGGCACTACCGGTGCAAGCTTCTCGTCCGCGTCGTGGGATGCGTTTCCAAGCCCCAGCCTCGCTATCACTCCTTCCGACAATAGCGGGGATGTTAGAAACGGAGGATTTCCGGGATTCACCGCGCTTGCCAGCACCCCCACGAGCGGGCATTCATCCGCGCTTCCGCTCCCCTCCCCCCGCGCGGCGCACGCTCCGCCTCCGCTGTTCACAATCCCGCGCGGCGGAAGTTCCGCTTCCGGGGGAGCTCCGCGCGAAGCTGGCGTTCCGCGAGCGTCTCCGCGCGCGCAAGCATCCGCGAATGCTTTCTCCCCGCCGAGTTGCGGAACCCGCGGAACCGGCGCTGGAGCAAGCTTTGGAGTGAACAGCGGAAGCAGCAGCGGGGTCTCCTCTGGATCCGTGCATCAGGTCTCCTCCTCCCCCCGCCTGCTCCCCGCGCTCCCCGCGCGCCTGTCCGCCCGCCAGTCTTCCGCCATGCTGCCTCCCGCGTATCCAAGCTCCTCCTCCGCCGCGTCGCCAAGTGGTAACCACTCCAGTGCCGTAACCACAGCCTTGGACTCGGCGCTAGGCTCGGCACTTGGTTCGGCCCTAGGCTCGGAAATGAGTATGGAGAGGCTTGCTGCAGAGCTCAGTCGGTTGCAAAGTGTAACCACAGCCGGTGGTAACCCCAATTCTGATGCTGGAAACTGCAGTGACGCTGGTGGTAACCACAGCGACAGTGGTAACCAGAGTGGTGGTTGTAATCGCGAGCAGTCGCTGGTGGCGTTGGCGACGGTCGTTGCAGCAGTGGCGATTGCAGCACAGAATAAGCAGAAGCAAGAGGAGGAGATTCGGCTGCAGCAGCAGCGGCAGCATGAGGAGGAGAGGGAGCGGCTTCTGGGTCTGCTGAAAAAGTATCAGGTGCTGCTGCAGCAGAAGGAAGGTGGTCAGCAAGAGGAGATGGGAGCCCAGAATAACAAGGAACAGCAGCAACAGCAGCAGCAGCAGCAGCAGCAGCAGCAGCAGCAGCAGCAGAGGCGAGAGCAGGAAGAGAGGGAGCGGAAGCAAAGGTTGAGGGAACAGCAACAGAAGCAGCTGCAGCAGCAGCTACTGCAGAGGCAGCAGCAACTGCAGCAGCAGAAACAACAGCAGCAGCTGCTACTTCAGCAGAAGCGGGAGGAGGAAGAAAGGGAGCAGAAACGAAGGGAACAGCAGCAGCAGCAGGAAAAGCAGCGGCAGCAGGAGGAGCAGAGTAATCAGCTTCTGCAGCAGTTGCTGTTGCTGCAGCAGCACAGACAGCAGCAAAAGCAGAAGCAACAGCAGCAGCAGACTCAAAACGTGAAGAGCATTTCCTCTGCTCCCCCAACTGCTCCTGTTGCCCTTGCTGCTGCCGCTAGTGCCCCGTCTCCCCCTACCCCTGCGCCTTCCGCTGCCCCTACTGCCGCCCCTGCTGCTGCTCTTCCTGTTGCCGCTCCTGCTGCCCCTACTGCTCTCCCCACCGCCACAGATCCCAACGCTGCCAGCATCAGCCTCCTCCTGAAGCTTCTATCTGAGAAGCTGCAAGGCCAGGTGGTAACCCTGTTACCAGACATGACCGAGACCAGCAGCATGACTGCCTCTAGTGCTGTTAACTCCTCCCTCTCCCCCCAGAAGTCTCCCAACGCGGCTGCCCCTCCTGCAGCTGCTCCGGCTGCTCCTCTTGCTACTGCCACTGCTCCAGCTGCTTCAGTTTCTATTGCTGCTGCTACCTCTGCCAATCCTACTGCCACTCCTGCAGCTGCCGCTCCTGCAGTTGCTCCTGTCTCTCTTCCCACCCCACCCACCGGCCCGGTTGTCTCCCTACACGCCCTTCTAATGAGCCTCTGCCATCCAGCGCTCAACAGCCCTGTTGCAAGTCCTGCCAAGCCTTGCCGCTCGGGCAGCGGAACAACTGTCGGGAACGAGGCTGTTTTCGGAAGGTGTGTGTCTGCTCCTGATCTGGCAGCGCCCGCTGAGCTAGCAGCCCAGGCCGAGCTGGCAGCAGCTGCTGACGTGGCACTTGAGGATGCAGGCGAGCCAGCTGTGCCTGATGCTGTTATGGATAACTGTCAGGCAGCAGATAACTGCCCTGTAACAGATCCGTGGGCGTGGTTACCACCTGGTTGCGGTGAAGCGGATGGGTTAGTGATCTCAGAACCAGCTGCTGCCGTTCTACCCCATGCTCCTGTCGTTCCTGCTCCTGCTGCTGCTGCTGCTGCTGCCCCTGCTGCTCCTGCTGCTGCCCCTGCTGCTCCTGCTCCTGCTGCTGCCGCGGCTGCTCCTGCTCCTGCTCCTGCTCCTCCTGCTCCTGCGGCTCCTGCCACAGGTGATGTTACTAGTGGTGGTGGTGCGTCTGCAGCAGCAGCTGCTGCGCTGTATCAGCACCTGGAGAAGCTTCTAGCCGACAACCCTCTCCCTGCAGCTGCTCTTCCTTCGCTACCTCTTCCATCTCAACCGCTTCCAACCGGCCCCACTGCCGCTGCTGCTGCTGCTGCCAGTGCTGCTGCTGCTGCTGTTGGTGGTGCTGCTGCTGGTGCGGGAGGTGTATCGAGTGCTGATGGGTTGGAGGATTGGGAAATGATTCAAGCTGACTGTAATAATGTCGCTCCAGCTGCTGCTGCTGCCGGTGCTGCAACTAATGCCGCTGACCCTGCTGACCCTGCTGTTGCAGCAAACCACCTCGCTCACCTAGATGGCTTGCTGGACTGCAACCAATCACTGCTTGACATGTGTGCGGGAGCGGATTTTCTCAATCTTAAGGACCTGCTGGCTGATGGTGTGGCGGCGGCACTTTGGTAAATAGTTCCCTGGTAAATACTTGCTGAGTCAACCCACATTTTGCATTAAGTGTGCAGAATTGGAGGCATCTCAAGATTTGGGGGGTACTCTTGAATAAGTATTAGTGGACACCAATGTGTTAACTGATGTGGAGGGGGTGTGTGAGTTGTTCGAGTTTTTTAGAGGCTCTTGTGTGTGGGTTTTGTATTTGCTCCCTTCTTTTTGTCATTGACTGATCTATGTGCGGTAACTGATTTGAACTTGAACATTCATAGAGCTACCATTTGAGTCATTCATCCACTCAAGCAAAGCAGCATTTGTGTCAGAGTGGCAGAGGCCTATCAGTACCACAAGCTCCAGCCAAATATCATTAAATGCAGACTTTAAACTGTGGTAATAACATATGCCGTCTCAGTGGTGAATTGCAATCAAGGAGAGGCGTTCCGTATACAAAAACCAATACACTGCTTTCTTATGGCCAGATTCGTCTGGTATGGTCCGGTGACCAATGACAAAAATCGCCCAGCAAGGGGGAAGGGGGGGATGCAGGAGGCGGAGTAAAAAAGGAGGAAGCAGGAAGCCCTGGTTCAGGTGGTTTCCATTCCAGGTGACTTTTGAGACGTCTCAAAAGTAAAAAAGGAGGAAGCAGGAAACCCTGGTTCAGGTGGTTTCCATTCCAGGTGACTTTTGAGACGTCTCAAAAGTAAAAAAGGAGGAAGCAGGAAACCCTGGTTCAGGTGGTTTCCATTCCAGGTGCTCGGAAGCGCTTGCTCCAGCAGGGACCTGAAGTTGTCAACAGCCCATCCCGATGCTCCATTAGAGAAAGTGACAGGGAAGGGAAGGGGAGGGAGGGAGGCGGAGGAGGAGGAGGCGGAGAAAATGGGGAACAGGAAACCTCTGGTTCAAGTGCTGTCAGCAACCGGTGCTCTGAGTGCTTGCTCCAGCAGGGACCTGAAGTTGTCAACAGCCCATCCGGACGGCTCCATGAGAGAGAGCGAGGGGGAAGGGAAGGGCGGAGGAGACGGGGACGACCCAGGCAGGACAGGAACAGCACCTGGGAAAGTCCCTGATCCACCTGGGAATTCACCTGACCAGACACCTGGCAGGGAGAGCTGATCACCAGCCAGGTGCCCAGCAACAGAGGCAGAAGCTCCAGGTGTTTCAGCAGGTGCGGGATGCTGCCTGGCAAGCCCAGCAGGTAGATCCCCAGGCTCAGAGTAGGGAGGGGGCGAGGAGGGGGTGGGGATGGCTGTGGTGAAATCGTAGAGCGAGGCGAGGGCAGCGAGAGAGTCTGGCCGGTCAGGGAAGGGAGAAACCACTGCTGCTTGACTGCTGTAGGGCGGAAAGAGAGAAGACGCAGCACCCACAGCCGCCCCACCAAAAGCAGCCCCACCAGCAGCAGCAGCAGCAGCAGCAGCAGCAGCTGCAGATGTCAGCTGTGGGCTGTAATAGCTCTGACTCGCATCTGCTGCCTGATAAAACCCACAACGAGTGTCCATCCCTCGGGCCTTTCTGCGAGAGCTGGCTTGAGAGCCGGCCGTCCTTCCCCCTTCACTGCTCGCGAATCCAGACTCCATGCTGCCAGTGTCCCCCTCGATACTGTCACTGCTGCCACCGCTCCTGTCACTGTCAATGCTTTCGTTATCATCACCCTCGTCACTGTCACTCCACGTGTCCTCTGGAACTACAGTCACCTGCCCCTCCTGCTGCTGCGGCTGCTGCTGCTGCTGTTCCTGCCCCGCCTCTTGCTGCTGCCCCAGCTGCTGCTGTTGTCGAGCGCTAAAGCCATCTCCTGCCCCTGCTGCCGCTGCGATTCCCGCTGCCGCCACTCCCGCTGCTACTCCTGCTGCTGCTCCTGCTGCCTCTCCTGCTGTCACACCTCTTGCTGCAACTGCAGCAGCAGAAGCTGAAGAGCCACCAGGCGCCCGTCCCCTACCAAGCTGCTTTCTCCCTCCTCCTCTTCTCTGCTCCTCCCTCTCCCCCTCCTCTCGTATCCCTTCCAGAGCCTGAAACCCTAGCTGCAGGGCCACCTGATAATTCACCTGAACACGCTCCTCAAAGCTTAAACCCCCTCCTCTCTTTCCTCCCTGCTCGTCCTTCTGTCTATCCTTCTGCTTCTCCTTCTGCTTCTCCTTCTGCTTCTCTTTCTGCTCCTCCTTTTGCTTCTCTTTCTGATTCTCGTTCTGCTTCTTCTGAGCAATTGATATCCCAGCTGTAGACATCCCCGCCCTCCCGCTAAGCTCGCCTTGCGTGTGACTCGCGCGCGACTGCCCTGGGCTTGAGATGGTCTGCTTGACAGGGGCAGGGGGAAGGCAAAATGTACGGTGACCGTTAATTAGTGACGTACGACCGTTGATCTCTGAGTAGACTCAAAAGCCGCCCTCCCGCTAAGCTCGCCTTGCGTTTGAGTCGCGCGCGACTGCCCTGGGTTTGAGATGGTCTGCTTGACAGAGGCAGGGGGACGACGAAAGTATTGAGACGTCTGAAAACATGATAGAAAAGAGTTGCTTATCACGATTCAAGCTGAAACTCACGTGAACGGCGCCGCGAATCACGGGAGCGCACTGCAGCTTCGCCTCGGCCACACGAAGCTTTGAGTCCACCCGAGTCGCGTCGCTCAGCAACCCGTCGATCCTTCCGTCGATCGTGGTGATGCGATTCGCGAGCTCGTCGGAAAACCGTTGCAGCCACGTCAGCAGCTGCTGTTCGTACTGCAACAACGTGGCAGGCTCCGAGCATGACGGAGAGGATGACGTGGCTGCAGAGGGGGAGGAGCCGTCTGACGTGGCAGTACCGACAGCGGCGGCACCAGTAGACAGGATTCTTGCCGATGATGACGTGGCGGTGGTTGGGAGCTGATTGGATTCGAGATCCGGCAAATTCAACGGCGACCTCTCACGAGATTCGTCCATCGTAGCGACAAATGGGCTGCGAAAAGGTACCGGAACTGTTCCCGCGCGACAACAGCGTCAGGATTGAACGGCAACTGCTTAGAGACGTCTCGAAACTCGTCAATTCTGCCCAGGATTGTGTGACAAGTCAGCGAGGTTCGGAGCGTATCAAACAAGAACCGCTCACATGCACGTACTGTCGTGCAACAGATGCTTGTATACTCGCCTCGTCGTCCTCCTTACGTCTAAGGCTTCGCTAGAAGGGCGTGGAATATAAATTCCAGAATGCTAATGAAACCTGCTTGTGAGCCCTGAAATGCGCTGTTGTGGCTGACAATTTCTGGCCACAGGCCATGGCTGCTCCTGGAGCTTGAGCGAGATCCGATACCAGCAACTGTACGCGTTATTGGGTCCTGACGCTGCAGTGTTGTGTGCAGCATGTGAAGACTTCTGGAACCCAAAATTGGTTGCGTAGGCAAGTTGTATAAACAATTTGATCTCATCCTTTTGTCCCATCCCATTAAACTTCTAGGCCAATGAAGCAATGCAAAAACGCCCATGCATTCCAGAAGCCCTTGCACCGCCATAGATGATTGCTTCTCTAGACCAAGCAACACGTGCAGCTTTGAATTCAAATACGCCTGGAATTACATCAAATGATGATCACATCTGTTACAATCAAGATAAAACCCTTTTTGCCTAAGACCGGGGCTTCTCTTTCTTCTCCTTGAAGAGAGCGAGCAGCGACACACCAGACACCTTCACCACTTTGAACCGCACACCGGGAATATCTCCCACAGCGTGTCCCTTACGACCGAATCCAGCAATGAGCACCTCGTCCTGTTGGGGTGAGAGAGGCGGAGAGGACGGAATGGGATGGCGGAGGGGATTTGAGGGAGAAGTGGGAGGGTCAGGACGGCAAGGGAGGAGAGGGATGGCAGTGGGATTTAGACAATAAGCACCTGAACAGACACATGAAACGCACTCAACATCCCCTCTGCCGTTCCAACTTACTTTCCCTTCCGTCTACCCCATGGACGCTCGCCGTCCACTCATGTTTTCCTCGATGCAGTTGCATGCCGTTCTGGGCAAGAACGAGACTATCTTCTACAATTACACTAGCCTCCCACCCCCCGCTACAATCACGCTTGCATTGCATCCCTTTCTCCTTTCCCCCCCTCCTCCAACGCAACCCTCCCGTCCCTCCTCCCCCCCTCTTCCCCTCCCCTTCTCCCCTCCCCTGTGCGCCAGCACTCACGTTCTCCTCGATGAAGTTGAGGCAACCGTCGTTGGGCACGAACGCTGCGATCTTCTTGCCGTTCTTGATCAGCTGCACTCGCGCACACTTACGAATAGCGGAGTTAGGCTGCTTCGCCTCAATACCACTGAGAAAGAGGGACAGATAAGGAGCGATAGGGAGAGGGGGGAAAGGAGGGGGTGCTAAGTCTTGTTGCCGCTGCACTCGCGCGCACTTGCGAATGGCGGAGTTGGGCTGCTAGGCAAGAAAAAGCCACTGGAGAAAAATGTTTAACATCTTACCAAGCACGATGCCCTTGGCGTGCGAGAAGAGGGGCCCAGAAAGGGTTAGAAGCATAAGACGACACGCGAAACAGAAAGAGCAAGTGCGGAACCGGGGAAACACGTTGGAAAAAGGAAATTACATCTTCTCGAGCACGATGCCCTTGGCGTGAGACGAGCCCATGAAGGGTTTCTTCCACTCGTTGCCCTGGTGGCTCTTCTTGTACTGCTTGTCCGCCCACAGCTGGTTGCGCCGGTGGTTGCGCAGCTTGCGCCCGGCTCCCATACCACGCGTCTTACTGCGCGGACACAAGCGGGGAAGGATTTAGAGGAAGGGAACACACACAGAGAGCTAAGTCCACAGCGATGGGTGCCATGCCAAACGGTCGAACACAGAAGCCGCAGAAACCGCGCTTCTGACGATGACGCCAAATGACGCCAACCATACCACGAGGATCCGCGGCACGAGGCCTTCCATCTGGCATGGTATCGGTACCGAGGTACCGCATGGCCCGAGTACGAGGTCAACTCCAACCGTAACTATGAAGCGCTAACTACTGAGGCTGACTAGCGTAATAAGGAACCTTGATCATTGAGGCTATACAAAGCTTCGCGGCTGACTTAAAACCACAGGAGGCTGTGCCTAACGAAACACTGAAGTTGTATCGCTAGGTCCTTTTAGGGTTCGGATCGAATTAAGCGGGACTGGATCTAACAAACCCCGAAGAACGAATCCGTAACGATATTGTGCAACGGAAAAGAAAATAATAGAGAAAAAAAACCACGGAGTCGGTACTAAAATCGGTGATTCGAGCGCCAGTGTGTGCAATTACGTGCAACGGATTTAAAGCTTTTAGGAGCCACGCGAATGCAATCGTTACCCATGGAACTCAATTCGGCAAATGAAACGTTCAGCACAAACGTCCTGCCGTGATCCTGTAAAACCCTAGACCTGTCATCTCGCTACACAGCTCCGTTTGGAGGCTGGAAACCGCGAAAGGCCTCAATAACGCCTTATATGTTAATGGATAATAACTTACCCCATGGTGGCGACTGGATGCGGTGCGACGAGGGTGAGGTGATGTGAGGAGGTGGGAAACGAGGTAACAAGCCTCGGAGTTAGAAGGGAAAGGGAGGTAAGGAGAAAGGAGGCTTTTGGTTGGAGGAGGTCGTGAAGAGGAGGGTGGAGAGGAAGAGAGTGGATGGTCGAAGCCTCGTTTCGGAATGGATTTTCCCACTGTGTCTGTAGCGAGGATGTTCACTCCAATTAGTGCATGACAACATAGGAATATTCAGAATTTCTATATTACAGATTAAGCGTTAGTGCATGTGATGTAAAACTATAAAAAAACAAGTATTTCATGATTTAGGCGTGTAAATAACGCAGATGAAGTAAAAACAGAACTGTATTGAAAATGTGGATGCTATTAAGATAGCGTCGCATCACGATTTTATTGATAAACACGTTTTATTCAGAGATTTTTAGCATTTGAGAAATGTAATTTGAGACTCAGAGTTTTATTCTCTTGACCATTCACCATTCCGAAGTATAGCATTTAACAGTCATGATAGTGTATCTTTATCTCAATCTCAGCCAAAGCTTTTCACGTTCGAGAGCTCCAGAGCAGCACAGCACAACACAGCACACCACACCCCAGAAGATACTTTCAGGGAATTCACCTGATTGGTCACAAGCCAGCGCAAAGTAGGCAACAGCCTCCCTCGTGAAAGTGGTTCCCGTGCCGAGCCAGCGTGTAAAGAGTTTTGGCTCGCGTCACAAACAAATACTTAGGGGACTTGGTGTGATCGAAGCCGTCCGAGGAACTTCATCGGATTGGAGATCGACGATCGTCCAGCTTCTTTGACCCTGATATTCCATTATTCTCTAACCTCCAACCTCCCCGACCTCTTGCACCTCTTTCAGCCAGGGGATGCAATACAAATCTGAGCAATTTTACCAAAACCCTCATTTCGCTTCTTCTCAACAGAAGCAGTTTCATCTTTACCCTGTCACCAACGGCATCACCAACAGCAGCTTCAGCAGAGAAGCTGAACGTTGTGTGTTCTGCTATCACGCTTGACCTGATCTCTGTTTTGCAGCAGTCAGCTTGATTCAGTATGAGTGACGAGGAGCTCCGCTGCTTTGTGGGTGGCCTCTCGTGGGGCACGGATGACCGCGCTCTTTCGGATGCTTTCCACGACTATGGAGCTGTTGACGCTAAGGTTCGATGATTGTGACTTTCGGAAACTTCATGGGTTACCTTTTTGCGCGCTACCGGCCTCGCCGATTTATTGTTTCGGTCTGGATCTTCTGCTCCTGGACATTGATTGACGGGGTTTAACGACGCCTGATTGGCGAATTTCTGACGAAGCATGCTTGGCGGGGTTCCGTATTCTGATGAGGGAGCTTTACTGCACGTGCCGGGTTCTGTGTTCGGAAACTCTTTACCTGAGCTCGTTGCGATGGAAACCGTCCTGTTCAGGTTGTGAATGACCGAGAAACCGGCCGCTCCCGAGGGTTTGGATTTGTGACTTTCAACGACAAGGCCGGCATGGACGATGCTATCAAGGCCATGAACGGCAAGGAACTTGACGGCCGGACCATCACTGTCAACGTTGCTCAACCCCGTGGAAGTGGAGGTGGGCGCGGCGGAGGCGGCGGCTATGGCGGCGGCGGCGGCGGGTATGGCGGCGGTGGTGGCGGATACGGTGGTGATCGCGGCGGCGGTGGTGGATACGGCTCGAGGGACCGCGGAGGCGGCGGCGGCAGCGGTGGTGGCTGCTACAAGTGCGGTGAAGACGGCCATTTCGCCCGCGAGTGCCCTAGTGGAGGCGGCGGCGGTGGCGGTTATGGCGGTGGTGGCGGCGGCTACGGCGGCGGCGGAGGCGGAGGCCGCTATGGGTCTGACCGTGGTGGTGGTGGTGGTGGCAGGCCCAGGTCTGGTCCCTATGACAGATCTGGTGGTGGTGACCGCAAAGACAGATATGATGACCGTTATTAAGTGACGCGTTTGCCTTGTCAGGCATTGGAAAGATGATTTTGTATAGCACTACATAGATCACTGTTCAGTTGTGCTTCTGCAGTTACAGCGCAATGTGCATATATATGAGGTGCTGCTTTTCATGTAGCTACTTTTGATAATGAAGAGCTGGTGCAAGTCCAAAAAACTCTGTTGCGATAATCTGCAAATTTGATTCCAGAACTCGCGAAAGTGAATACTACAAGGGTGTTCAGATATTTTTGCTGCACACTTTTTCTCTTGACGGCATTTTAGCACAAGACTTGCACTGAGCAAAACCTTGTTTCTTTCCGCGTACGCGATATTAGACATGCACGCTTCACTCCACAAACAATCTCCCCCCAAAACCTGACAGAGCATTTCCCTCGCCTGCGTTCGTCAGCGATGCGAATTCGCACGAGTACGAGAATTCTGAATAATCAGCACACCCGTCATTGTGGCCCGTGAATAACGCCGCAGATTCATATCGGAGTTTACATTCTTGGCTCATCCGTCGCTCAAATTCGGTTACTCGGACTTAATTATAGCAGGCTGTTTTTTCGAGTAGCTCTCCCGCATTAGGGATGTCAGCCACAGTAGCAGAAGAGGCGGCAGCGCGAGTGGCGGCGGCAGAGGCGGCGGGGATCACGCTGTCGGCTGAAGTGAAGCGCGCCTTGCTCGCCGGGCGCCCTGTCGTAGCGCTGGAATCGACCATAATATGTCATGGTATGATGCGGTTCAGTGAGGTGCAGCACTGCGCTGCAAGCTCATCAGGCCATTGCCATCCGTTGTGCTGCGGCCCGCATAACCTGGCAGCGTGGCAGGGGGTAATTCCTTCCACGCTGAATCACCCCCTGGAATTGGAAGGACCTCACCTTCGGGTCCAGTCGTTTATTTTGCTGGGTGGTTCTTAGAATGTTCATAAATACCCTGCCAGCCGCAGGTCCTGTGGAAGTCCGTTCTTCTCCTTCTCCTCACAAGACCTGCGTGGACTGGTTTCAATACCAAAGGTTTTTGCAAACATGTGCACATAAGGTGCGGGGGAGTGGCAGCAGCCTCGCATCAAGCAGAGAGAATATACTGGAATTAATTAATCTAGAAAAAAAAGTGTTCTGGCCTCCTATCTCTCCATCTCCCCATCCTTCTCGCTCCCATACCTCTCCCGTCCGTCTTTCCCCTGTCGCCACCAAGGCATGCTTTTCAGACGTCTCAAAAAACATTCTATCACGTGCCTTCCCCCTGTCGCCACCAAGGCATGCTTTTCAGACGTCTCAAAAAACATTCTATCACGTGCCTTCCCCCTGTCGCCACCAAGGCATGCTTTTCAGACGTCTCGAAAAACATTCTATCACGTGCCTTCCCCCTGTCGCCACCTTTTAAGAATTCTCAAAAGCATGGTGGCAGCAGAAGGTTTTGCGGAGTGGTGCATATTTATCCTCCTACCCATCCTTCTCTCTCCCCCCCCCCCCCCCTTTCCCTGTCTCACCAACTCAGGCATGCCATACCCACAGAATTTGCAGGCAGCAGAGGGCATTGAGGGTAGTATCCGAAGGGAGGGGGCAGTGCCGGCCACCATGGCCATCATTGACCGACGGGCGCGCCTCTCCCTTACACCCCTCCTCCTCTCCCATCCATTTCTGTCTCCCCTCTTCATTGTCGCCCCAACCCAGGCATGCCGTACCCACAGAACCTGCAGGCAGCAAAGGGCGTGGAGGGTATTATTCGAGGGGAGGGGGCTGTGCCGGCCACCATTGCCATCATTGACGGCCGGCCGTGCATAGGTGGGTGGGTGAGCCTGCATGCCGTTCAGAACTTGAGGGGAGGTGGGGAGGGGGCAGTGTTTGAGGCGCCTCAAATATAGGCCGTGCATAGGTGGGTGGGTGAGCCTGCATGCCGTTCAGAACTTGAGGGGAGGTGGGGAGGGGGCAGTGTTTGAGGCGCCTCAAAAATAGGCCGTGCATAGGTGGGTGGGTGAGCCTGCATGCCGTTCAGAACTTGAGGGGAGGTGGGGAGGGGGCAGTGTTTGAGGCGCCTCAAAAATAGGCCGTGCATAGGTGGGTGGGTGAGCCTGCATGCCGTTCAGAACTTGAGGGGAGGTGGGGAGGGGGCAGTGTTTGAGGCGCCTCAAAAATAGGCCGTGCATAGGTGGGTGGGTGAGCCTGCATGCCGTTCAGAACTTGAGGGGAGATGGGGAGGGGGCAGTGTTTGAGGCGCCTCAAATATAGGCCGTGCATAGGTGGGTGGGTGAGCCTGCATGCCGTTCAGAACTTGAGGGGAGGTGGGGAGGGGGCAGTATTTGAGGCGCCTCAAAAATAGGCCGTGCATAGGTGGGTGGGTGAGCCTGCATGCCGTTCAGAACTTGAGGGGAGGTGGGGAGGGGGCAGTGTTTGAGGCGCCTCAAATATAGGCCGTGCATAGGTGGGTGGGTGAGCCTGCATGCCGTTCAGAACTTGAGGGGAGGTGGGGAGGGGGCAGTGTTTGAGGCGCCTCAAAAATAGGCCGTGCATAGGTGGGTGGGTGAGCCTGCATGCCGTTCAGAACTTGAGGGGAGGTGGGGAGGGGGCAGTGTTTGAGGCGCCTCAAATATAGGCCGTGCATAGGTGGGTGGGTGAGCCTGCATGCCGTTCAGAACTTGAGGGGAGGTGGGGAGGGGGCAGTGTTTGAGGCGCCTCAAAAATAGGCCGTGCATAGGTGGGTGGGTGAGCCTGCATGCCGTTCAGAACTTGAGGGGAGGTGGGGAGGGGGCAGTGTTTGAGGCGCCTCAAAAATAGGCCGTGCATAGGTGGGTGGGTGAGCCTGCATGCCTTTCAGAACTTGAGGGGAGGTGGGGAGGGGGCAGTGTTTGAGGCGCCTCAAAAATAGGCCGTGCATAGGTGGGTGGGTGAGCCTGCATGCCGTTCAGAACTTGAGGGGAGGTGGGGAGGGGGCAGTGTTTGAGGCGCCTCAAAAATAGGCCGTGCATAGGTGGGTGGGTGAGCCTGCATGCCGTTCAGAACTTGAGGGGAGGTGGGGAGGGGGCAGTGTTTGAGGCGCCTCAAAAATAGGCCGTGCATAGGTGGGTGGGTGAGCCTGCATGCCTTTCAGAACTTGAGGGGAGGTGGGGAGGGGGCAGTGTTTGAGGCGCCTCAAAAATAGGCCGTGCATAGGTGGGTGGGTGAGCCTGCATGCCGTTCAGAACTTGAGGGGAGGTGGGGAGGGGGCAGTGTTTGAGGCGCCTCAAAAATAGGCCGTGCATAGGTGGGTGGGTGAGCCTGCATGCCGTTCAGAACTTGAGGGGAGGTGGGGAGGGGGCAGTGTTTGAGGCGCCTCAAAAATAGGCCGTGCATAGGTGGGTGGGTGAGCCTGCATGCCTTTCAGAACTTGAGGGGAGGTGGGGAGGGGGCAGTGTTTGAGGCGCCTCAAAAATAGGCCGTGCATAGGTGGGTGGGTGAGCCTGCATGCCGTTCAGAACTTGAGGGGAGGTGGGGAGGGGGCAGTGTTTGAGGCGCCTCAAATATAGGCCGTGCATAGGTGGGTGGGTGAGCCTGCATGCCGTTCAGAACTTGAGGGGAGGTGGGGAGGGGGCAGTGTTTGAGGCGCCTCAAATATAGGCCGTGCATAGGTGGGTGGGTGAGCCTGCATGCCGTTCAGAACTTGAGGGGAGGTGGGGAGGGGGCAGTATTTGAGGCGCCTCAAAAATAGGCCGTGCATAGGTGGGTGGGTGAGCCTGCATGCCGTTCAGAACTTGAGGGGAGGTGGGGAGGGGGCAGTGTTTGAGGCGCCTCAAATATAGGCCGTGCATAGGTGGGTGGGTGAGCCTGCATGCCGTTCAGAACTTGAGGGGAGGTGGGGAGGGGGCAGTGTTTGAGGCGCCTCAAAAATAGGCCGTGCATAGGTGGGTGGGTGAGCCTGCATGCCGTTCAGAACTTGAGGGGAGGTGGGGAGGGGGCAGTGTTTGAGGCGCCTCAAATATAGGCCGTGCATAGGTGGGTGGGTGAGCCTGCATGCCGTTCAGAACTTGAGGGGAGGTGGGGAGGGGGCAGTGTTTGAGGCGCCTCAAAAATAGGCCGTGCATAGGTGGGTGGGTGAGCCTGCATGCCGTTCAGAACTTGAGGGGAGGTGGGGAGGGGGCAGTGTTTGAGGCGCCTCAAAAATAGGCCGTGCATAGGTGGGTGGGTGAGCCTGCATGCCGTTCAGAACTTGAGGGGAGGTGGGGAGGGGGCAGTGTTTGAGGCGCCTCAAAAATAGGCCGTGCATAGGTGGGTGGGTGAGCCTGCATGCCGTTCAGAACTTGAGGGGAGGTGGGGAGGGGGCAGTGTTTGAGGCGCCTCAAATATAGGCCGTGCATAGGTGGGTGGGTGAGCCTACATGCCGTTCAGAACTTGAGGGGAGGTGGGGAGGGGGCAGTGTTTGAGGCGCCTCAAAAATAGGCCGTGCATAGGTGGGTGGGTGAGCCTGCATGCCGTTCAGAACTTGAGGGGAGGTGGGGAGGGGGCAGTGTTTGAGGCGCCTCAAAAATAGGCCGTGCATAGGTGGGTGGGTGAGCCTGCATGCCGTTCAGAACTTGAGGGGAGGTGGGGAGGGGGCAGTGTTTGAGGCGCCTCAAAAATAGGCCGTGCATAGGTGGGTGGGTGAGCCTGCATGCCGTTCAGAACTTGAGGGGAGGTGGGGAGGGGGCAGTGTTTGAGGCGCCTCAAATATAGGCCGTGCATAGGTGGGTGGGTGAGCCTACATGCCGTTCAGAACTTGAGGGGAGGTGGGGAGGGGGCAGTGTTTGAGGCGCCTCAAATATAGGCCGTGCATAGGTGGGTGGGTGAGCCTGCATGCCGTTCAGAACTTGAGGGGAGGTGGGGAGGGTGCTGTGCCTGCCAGCCACCATTGCCACCATAAACGGCTGGCCGTGTGAAGGTGAGCGGCTTGTGCTATGCTTCAACTCGGGCTATTTCTGGGACGCATTAGGTGTGAGAGTGAGCCTGCATGCCGTTCTCAGCGCATGCCACCCGAAACGTCCCCTCCCCACAACATTTTCCTCCTTACCTCGTCTCCTGCATGGTTGACATCCCTTCAGCTGCAGCTATTGGCACGGGACGGCCATGCTGCTGTGAAGGCTGCCAGACGAGCCGTGGCGAGGCAACACTGCCTTAAAACTCTTGTCCACTCTCCCGTCCCGTCCGCTGTTTCCTCCGCGCTTCTTCTCCTGCAGGGCTGACGGCCTCTCAGCTGCAGCAGCTGGCACGGGACGGCCATGCTCTCAAATACCCGTAACCCCCACCCCCTGCACACGGCCCTTCTCTCGTCTCCGCTCTTCTACTGCAGGGCTGACGGCCTCTCAGCTGGAGCATCTGGCACGGGACGGTCATGCTGCTGTGAAGACTGCCAAAGAGACCAGGCAACGATGCCTCAAAACCCCTCCCCCACCCACTCTCCTCCTCACCTCGTCTCCTGCAGGGCTGACGGCCTCTCAGCTGCAGCAGCTGGCACGGAATGGCCACGGTGCTGTGAAGACTGCCAGACGAGATGTGGCTCTCGTGGTGAGATGTGGTGAGGCGTGGTGCGATGTGGTTAGGGGTGGTGGGGCAGTGGAATGTGACATCGTTGTGCTTCTTTCTACAAGAGTGCTGCTTTTCATGAAAAATAATATTCCTTCTTCTACCTTAAAATGGCGTTCGAGTCGGCGCAAAAATCGTTCCGCGCCTTACAACATGCGCAGCCCACAACCAGGTTTATTCTGTCGGAGATACATCTCTACCCTCATCATCTGCCTTAATCCTCATGCTCTTCGTCCCTTAGCTCCTTCGGTTGCCTCAGCCACTCTCTGCCCCCATACATCTTGGCTCATACATCTTGGCTCATACATCTTGGCTCTCATACATCTTGGCTCTCTCCTGTGGTTGTGGCACCACCTTCCACCCTTCGTTGGTTCTCAGCTGCAGCTGCTGAGCACCATGTACTGGTGGGTGAGCATGGGAAAGGATGTGGCAGGATTAGTGGCGAGCTGCGAGGCATGTCAGAGGAATAAAGCAAGGCTGGAGAAAGAGAGAGATGAGCTGCATTCTTTACCAATTCGCGGGTTGGGCTACAGGTGGTCGTTGGACCTCGCGGGAGAGCTGCCACTATCGAAAGGAGGGAAGCAGTACATTCTGGTGATGGTTGAGCACACGAGTAAATGGGTGGAGGCGCGAGCGTTACCAAGCAAGAACAGCGCACTGATAGCTGACGCTTTTGAGGAGCTGGTGCTCACCAGGTATGGGGCATGCGGGGAGGTACTCACTGATCAAGGGACGGAATTTCAAGGGAGCTTCGACGAGCTGCTGGAAGAGATGGGTATCACGCACAGGGTCACCTCTAGGTACCATCCTCAATCAGACGGACTGACCGAGAGGCTCATACAGACCTTGAAGAAAGGACTACGGGCCTACAGTGAGTCCCACAAAAGGAGTTGGGACCGAGATCTCTGGTGGGTGCTGGCGGGGTACAGGTTCGCAAAGCAGGCGGCTCTGAGAAACCTATCCCCGTACCACTTACTGTTCGGGCGGGATCCTGTGCTGCCGGTCGATGCTCCGAAGCTGCTTTCTGCGGTTATAGAGGCAGATGAGCCAAACCTGTGGGCGGAGTTAGCACAGAGGAGAGCAAAGTATTTGAAGGAGCTGACTCCGACAGCTCTGGATAACCTCCATGTGGCGCAGCTGCGTGACGCAAGACGATACCAGCAGCGTAAAGCATCAGGGATAGGGGGAAAGGGTGACAAGGTGGAGGCAGGGCAGGAGGTATACCTTCGCAAAGCTAAGCGCGACACGCTGGACTTAGCGGTGGGATCGGAGCGGTGGAAGGTGAAAGAGATACGAGGCTCGGGAGTGTTAGTGCTGGAAGATATTCGAGGGGGAATCATCAAGGAACACATCACCAACGTGGCCAGGGCGGGACAAGGGAAGCCTCAGGCAGTGGGTCCCGTGACTCGAGCGGCAAAGATGGGCGCTGAGACACGGGAGGGGGCAGGGAAGCCTGAGGTACCAGGAGGAGTGCAGGACAGAGTGATTACATACGCCAGGAGGAAGAAGGGATGAACCTGATCAGCAGTACGGGTGGCAGGGAAGGAAGGAGAGAAGGAGAAGTCAGCAGGTTACACAGGGGAGAAAGGGAATGAGGGTGGACAGAGGAAGATTCACGACAGCTGTCGCGTTATTAACACTTAGCTGGCAACTAAGTGTGAATACCACAGCAGCCAAGGTGAGGGTGTACTATAGTTTACCGCTTTTGTACTCTAATTTCATTTGTGTGCTTGGAGTGTATTGTACTGTACTGCAGAGCCGAGTAGCTGGGGAATTTGAGGTGGTTAGTGGGAGGCGAATTCAAGGAGGTTGGTGGAGACGAATTCAATTCCAGCCTGTGAATTCAATTTCGAAGTCACAAGGCTGGAAGGCGAATTCAATGCCAGCCTGGGAATTGAATTCGAAGTCACCAGGCTGGAAGGCAGTGCATGCCTAGTGGGCCCAGTGGGAACACAGCTAGCACCTTGGAGACCTCGCGAGCAGCCCGGCTGACTCGCTTGGTGCACAGGAGCTTGCTTGTGGAGGAAGCAACCTAGGCAGGGGGTGGGAATAGATGTAGGCAGGAGTAGCACTCGGGCTTCTTGCTTTTTGCTTGTATGTTTCTCATTTACTGCAATTTGTTTTCCTAATCCAGAGGGAACTAGCAGTAGGAGAAGCTATAAGCAATTTGACGGAGCCCCTGAGGGGGAGTGTTACGCTTGCTACATACAAGCAAAAAGCTCTCACCTCAAAGGTCCTCCCTGAGTGGTGTGCCACCCGCCTGCTCTGGTAAGGTAACAACAGTCCACTATACGAAAGGATAACAAACAGAAAGCATCAGAGGTGTGTGTGAGAGTGAACTTACCTGACCCTGGCTCGAACCGTGCATTTCTCAATGTGCGGCTCGAGCCTGGGTTGGTTCGTTCTCATTGGTTGCAAGGATTTCACCCAAGGTGCTCTCCTACCAACTTCGCGTCAATTTCCCAGCTCCCACCTACCTATCCTCGAATTTGCAAACACAACATAGCTACACCTCCACTACACCACCATGATACTGGCACCTTATATGCACAACCGTGCATATTCGGTGACAGCTGTCGGAGATACATCTCTACCCTCATCATCTGCCTTAATCCTCATGCTCTTCGTCCCTTAGCTCCTTCGGTTGCCTCAGCCACTCTCTGCCCCCTCCTGTGCCCGTGCTCGAGCGGCTTGAGCGCGGGTCACAGGACCAGTACGCTGAGGCCCGGTCCCTCTGATCACTGCAGTGTTCGTCTGATGTTCCCTCAGCTGCGCTCCGGTGTCGTTTTCCAAGACCAGCACCCCTGAGGGGCGCACCTCCTTGACTTTCCAGCGGATGGTCCCCAACCCCACGTCAAGGGTGTCCTGCTTAGCCCTCTTCAGATAGACTTCCTGTCCTTCGCAGACATCCTTTGCTGTTCTTCCCTCCCCTTTGTGTTGCCTCTGTTCGTATCTTCTTGCGTCCCTGAGCTGCGCGGTGTGCAGATTCTCCAACGCGGCTGGCATCATGTAGCGCATGTAGCGCGCCCTCACCTCGGACAGGGCTACCCAGTTCCTGATCGTGCCCGCTGTCACTGTATCTGTCAATACTCGTGGTGCTCCCACTGGCAGAATCGGCTCTCGTCCGAACAGCAGGCTATACGGGGAGTGATCCTTCAACGCTGCCTGCTTCCGAACCTGTACCCTGCCGCGATCCAGTCCAACTCCTCATCCCAATCCCTCTTCCTCTGCTCCCCGTAGGCCCGCAGCCCCCGCTTGAAGGTTTGCACGGCTCTCTCAGTCAGCCCATCACTCTGCGGGTGATAGCGGGAGGTCTTTCGGTGCGTTATGCCAGACTCCGCCAGCAGCTTCTTGAACTCCCCCTGGAACTCTGTTCCCTGGTCTTTGAGTACCTCCCCGCATGCTCCAAATCGGCACACTACTTGCGCTTTGAAGGCTGCTGCAATGTGCCTCGCGCTCTTGCTAGGGATCGCTCGCACCTCCAGCCACTTGCTCACATGTTCCACCATGAACACGATGTACTGATTCCCGCTCCGACTCAGTGGCAGCTCTCCCGCGAGGTCCAGGGACCAACGGAACCCTAGTCCGCAGATTGGCAGTGAGTGCAGCTCTGCTTTGGCCTGCGTCAGGTTTGCTTTGCTCCTCTGACACGCCTCGCACCCCTCCACCCACTCTTTTACTTGCCTGCGCATCCCTTCCCACCACCAGCCCGTCTTCAGCAGGTGTACGGTCCTCTCGTGCCCGAAGTGCCCCAGCTTAGTGTGCACTTCCTTGATCACTGCTTCACGGTCCTCGGGCGCTGGCACCAGCTTCCACCCATCCTCCGTCTTGATCTGCAGCTGCTGCTGATACCACCTGTAGTGGTGCCCTCGTGCCCTTACTCTCTCAGGCACCGTTTCATCCTCCTCGGTTTCTCCCTTCACCCATTGCATTGCCTTTGCATCCAACCAGATGTCGGTTGGCCCCTTACTCCCCTTCGCCCCCGTCTGCTCCACCTCTCTTGCCAGTAAGATCAAGGTCCGTGCCGGCTCTTGCTCTGTCTCTTCCGTCCCCAGGGTGGCCTGTTTCGTTTCCAGCGGCGGTGGATTGCGGGAGAGGCCGTCAATGTGCTGCAGCGTCTTCCCCGGCCTGTGCCTGATCTTGAAATCATACTCCTGCAGCTTCACTGCCCACCGCGCGTTCCTGCCTGTCAGCCCTGGTGTAGTCATCAGCCAGGTGAGTGGCTGATGGTCAGTGGCTAGGGTGAAATCTCGGCCTTGCAGGTATATCCGGAAATGCCCGACCGCCCACACTGCCGCCAGCCCTTCCCCAATGTATGAGCTATATTGTGCTTCCGCCGGGTTGCAGCTCCTGCTGGCGTAGGCCACCACCTTCTCCACTCCCTCCACCTCCTGGCATAATATTGCTCCCATCCCTTGGCTGCTCCAGTCTGTGTAGAGGATGAAGGGCTGGTCTACTGCTGGCAGCCGCAGCACTGTCGCTGTCTTCACGGCTGTCATGAGGTCTTGCAGTGCCTGTCTCTGCTCCTCTCCCCACTCCCATGCCTTGTCCTCCCGCAGCATCCCATTTAGTACTGTCGCTCGTTTGCTGAAGTTCGGCACGAAGCGCCTGTAGTAGCTGAGGAAGCCCAAGACCGCACGCAGCCCTGACTTGTCTCTTGGTTCCCTCAGCCTGTCCAGCACTTGCACCTTCGCTTGCTGGATACCAATCTGCCCCCCTGTGACCTCATACCCAAGATACTGCACTGTCCGCTCCCCCCACCTGCACTTGTTGGGATGGCAGGTGAGCCCTGCCCCTTCTATGGCGGTCAATGTCCTCTCCACGTCCTCCAGGTGCTGCTGTTCGGTCAAGCTGAAGATCACGACATCATCAATATAGCACGCCGCGTGTTCTATTCCCCGCAGCACCGCGTCCATGACTCTCTGAAACACCGCCGAGGCGTTCCTCAGACCGAAGGGCATGTAAAGCCACTCGTACAGCCC